GGGGGTTCCTCTCTCACACCAAGGATGTTCTTTATGCCCTCAGCATTTTGACTGCATTTCCCTTTTTTCTGTTTTCCTCTAAGCCAGTCTTCACATTATCCTACCCCATGCATTATAAAACCATAATTTTAGTTAAACTCCAGTTAAGTGTGACATCTGGTGATTTAGCAAGCCCAGAATTGTTCAATGGCATCAAACTGTGATTTCAAACTACTAACTGTGGTTTTGTTCTGAAATCTGAATTCAAAACCACAGTCCATTGAGCCATACCATTCTTTGTGGGCACTTGCCACAGAGACAGTAGTATAGGGAAGATCTCATGTTTAATGGCAGGCAGAGAAGGGGCAAGAAGCAGACAAACCAGGGTCAATACACGCACACAAAGATTTGCTACTTGTGCCTGGTAGACTAAGTAGAGGTTTTTTGCACAAACCTTGGCTTAAATGAACCATGGTTTATCAAGAGTTCTGATGCACCCTACAATTATATCCAAAACCAACGGTGTAGACTTTCCAATTTCCCGGGGGGGGCTGGGGCTGGGCCAGAGGCATTGCTTTGCTAGGAGCAAGGGTGGCTCCCGGGGGAGGCTGAACACCTTCCTGAAAATTTCGGCGGGGGCTGCCGCCCCGCCGCCCCCACGAAGATTACGCCTATGTCCAAAACTACCTGCAAACAGGAGTAGATGCAGATTTTTCTGATGTGCGATGAACTTGACTTTCCCCCGCATTTGCTGTTCACATGATACAGATATGTCTTCTAATTCTTTGCCCTTCCCCTCCCTTCAAGTGGACTCTCCACTGTAGCTTCTTACAAGCAGCCTGTATTTGTTTACATATTTATTCAGGTGTTTTTTAAAAAAAAAATTACAGGTTATTTTAACACTTGAAAAATTACTCCAAGGTGGGATGGGGGAGGTGGTTTCATGATTAGCACAAGGACTAGTCAGTAAGCACTATGTTCTGCTCCTTTGGTTGCACACTTGTTGAATGATTCCCCTCTGACTACTGTCTGGAGGAGAAGACCACAAATGTGCCCCAAATATGGGGGAAATTCAGACAGCCTGTGCTCCATTTCAGGAACTGTTCACTAATGGTTTCTGTCTGTCATTTCAGACAGAACTGTTTTAGTAACGGTTTCCTGACGGAATATATTTCCCCTTTCAGACAGAAACGCTTCTGTCCTGTTTGGGAAGCGTTCTTGAGCTGTTTTGCCTGCAAACTGCTTCCAAGCGGTCTTCAATTTCTTCTACCATTCCTGAAGCGCTATGGGGTGCTGTGTAAAATGCCCCCGTAGCGCTTCCTCCGATGACGAGGTTTTTGTTCCCTTTTTCGCCCACGCGGGCGATCTCCATCTTTTTTTTAACATTCTTTTAAGAGCGCTATGGCGCTGTAACACAACCCTGAAACAGCACAATAGTGACCCCATTGGGATGCCTGGACCACTGAGATACATGCGATCACTACATCTGGGGAGAACAGTGATTTCAATGGAATACAATGCCACGGAGTCCTCCTTCCGCAGCATTCACTTTATGCCCGGGAACTGATATCTGTAGGCAGGAGATAAGGTGTAACTCTGCAATGCTCCCTCTAAGCTGTGGAGTCCTGTGAGCAAAAATTCCACTTTGTGAGCTACTGGCATTAAAGTTGTGAGTGAGCAATTTGGCTAGTGCATAAATTAGTTTGCTCTGGAGCCATCCTTCCTGAGCTAAGACAAAAATGTGTGAGCCAGAGGCTAAAAAACTGTGAGCT